TTCCATCAAATCCTAATCCGAGGGTCTATGGTCGCGCACTCACCTTGATTTCGGAATCGATTATCTCATCAACCACAGCTCCGAAACAGAATCGGAAAACTGTTCTGAAAACTAGACAGAACAAGCTACACGTCGGTATGCGGATCGTCTCCAAACTCTTTCTGGTTCGACGGGAATCCTCCCCTCAGTGGACTGATCGCAGCAGAAAACTGCAGACACCTACCCAGTTAATACGATCATAACTCCTTAAATACTCAACCCATTGACGAACGGTTTTCACCCACATCAAGAAAAAGGATTGGAGAACTTACCCACAAAGTTTCACCCCGATCCGACCTAATTTGCCTAGCCGTTCGTCTCCTCCAAAAAATCACCTAAACCGAATTAGGATTTCAGAAGACAGGAACGACACACGGACTTTGAAAGCACACCGAGAACGGATAATACCTCAGAATCAGGATCAGAAACCTGATTTAGAAACTAGACAGAGAGAGCTTTCTACAGATAGGCTGATCGTCTCCTAAGTCGTTTTGGTTCGATCGGAAAGCCTTCCCGAAGCCGACTGATCGAAACAACAAGTCTGCACAACCCTATCGAGTTCAAACAGCCATAACTCAACGAATATTCAACGAAATGACGAACAGATCGAGACCAGAGATCGGAAAACTTACCCTCAAAGTTTCACCCCAATCTTCCTCGAATTGCCCAGCCGTTTGCCCTCTCAAACACTCGAACAGAAGCTGTCCTTCACCCTCAATCACACACAACTCACAACCTCTCTTGATTCTCTCTCGAATCCTCCTCTTTCTCTGATTTTCGGCCAAAATGAGACCAACAGGCGTCTGTTCCAGCCCTCTTATACAAACCCTAGGGTGTCCCCTAAACCGCTTCCCAAACCGGCAAATCAGAAATCGAAACCGTCGGTCTGATTTTACCCGTGGATCGACACACATGCCAAAAAAAACTCTTTTTTGGTTCACGGGCGTTACACTCATATTGATTAGATGATGACATGTGTTTATACTTAAAATTAATAAAATTAAAAATTGAAACGAACATAATAAATGTCAAGTAACAAAATAATGAAAATAAATTTTCTTATAGTCCCAACTAATTAGATAAAAATTTAGAATAGTCTAAATTAATTAAAAAACAAAATGTTTAATAGCCCAAACTAATTATAAAAGAATAAGAAAGATAATACAGGGATATAAATCGTAAGAAAAGGTAAAGAGTGATTAAAAATTGGAAAATAGTAACTTAGAAAGAAAAGTCACAAACAAAAATGCAGAGAGAGAATAAAAGAAAGGATAATTGT